CGGGTAGACGGCGCAGGTGGCGTGGGGGAGCTGGAAGCAGTCCTCGGTGAGGCGGCCGCGGAGACGGGCGGCGCAGCCCTCGCCGCCTGGTGGCGCCCGCGGAGGAGGAGGAGGCGGCGCGGTCGTCGCGGACGGCGGCGGCGGCTCGCGGAGGTCGATCACGGATGGCGCGGCCCACCCCTCCGTGCCCGTCGACAGCGCGCGGCGAGACGTGGCGGTGGCGTTGCCGGCGCGGTGGTGGCGGTTCGCAGCTGCGGGCACCTTGGCGGTCGAGGCGTGGGGAAGCGCGTGGAGGAGGAGGAGGAGGAGGGCGAGGCAGAAGAGGGCAGCGGAGTGGGAGGGGCGCGAGGCCATCGCCATCGCCATGGCCATGGATGGTGAAGCGGAGAAGGCAACGAACGAACGCGGCGTCGCTGCTAGTGCTGTGTGATGCCTTATACTAGCAGAGGAAGGGGAGGATTGGGATTGGGATTGAGGGTGCGAATGGGATTGGAGAGATGGAGGGAATGACGTTGCTCTCTCCCAGTGCCAGGCTGCCACCTGTCACGCTAATCCCGAGCTCGACTGCCAATCCCGAGTGACCAGGAAAAGAAAAGGGAAAGAAGGCGCCTCGGGTGTCGCTGCATGCCGCCGCTCTGCTTTGCTTTTTGTTGTCGCGGCTCGCAGAGTGGCAGCGTGGATTTCGTGGCAACCAAGTCGAACGCTCAGAGCATTTAATAGTATAACTCACTACTGGCTTCAATTCATTTATAGCCAATTCATACAATAGTTGTTTACTATAATATTAATATATGGTCCCACTTGTTATACACACATTGCGTATTAGAGTCCGTGCTGCAGCTGGCTATAAATTTGTAGCTCGTTGCTCTTCTCTCTCATCGTTTATCTTATTAAAATATGTTTATAGCTGGCTAATAGCCTGCTATTGTACCTGCTCTCAGTGAAGAACATGTACTTTCTCTGTCCCAAAAAAAACTTAACCTAGAAGGGAATATGACCCCTTCTAAGACAACGAATCTGGACTACCTTTTGTCTGGGTTTATTATTCGAGGAGGGGTCACATTCCGTTCTAGATTGAATTTTTTGGAACAAAGGTACTACATGTTCTCCTACCGTCGGTCCTACCAGGATGCGACTCTTTCCATCTTAAAAAGAAAACACATGATTTTATTGATACTCTTTTCGTCTTAAAAAGAAAAGAAAATCAATTTCTAACTACTATGTTCTCTTTTTATAGGATGGAAGGTGTAGTTTGATTAATCTAGACAGGTGAATTTCTTGCATGCTAAGCCGTGTTTTATTTTATAAAAAATGTTTATTCACTTGTATATCCAAGTTATTTTCAGTTGTACCAATTGGCTCATTTTCTAGTTGTTTGATGCTTTCATTGGTAGATCTAAAATACAATGCTTAGTAATACGTAGACTTCCAAATCATTAACGGCAATTGGCATGATATGTAGCGTAGCTTGGAGCGATGGTGTATGTATTAGTCCATCCTTATCATATAGTACTAGTATTGAATATATTTTGATAATATTTATGTTTTGTATTGGAAATGTTATTATATTTTTCTATAAATTTTTCAAACTTAATAAAATTGACTAGAAAAAAAATAAAGCAAATTAGGATATGAAATGGAGGGAGTACTGTAGTAAGTTATATAATCAGCATTGATATCACAACAGTTTATACATATTGCGAGTTATGTCCAAGCAGTAAAAGCACATTGCATTTTAATTATAGTGATATTTATAGCACATTGCATTTTGGTTGGTCAAGTTTCCCATTGGCACCGTGGCACGCTTTTTGGAAGCCGCCAAAACCTGGGTGGGTGGTATCAGCAGCTTTATCCAGACTCTCTGGCCGAATCGTATCGGACTGTCAGGGATGGATGCATGGGGATCAGTGGAGGGCACGAGCATTGGTCAGGGGCATGCCACTTCTCTTCTCTGTGTTCTAATCTCATTCCCATTCCCATTCCCATACCTAATGACCCCAACCACAATATCACCCCCTTTCCTTGTACTCCCTAGTTGTAGATGATGAAGCATTGGATTAATTGTGCTGTGTACAAATACTAATTCAAGTAGTAGTATGCCTGTATGCGTGTATGTATGCCTGGCCTGCTGCCCATGTCATCCAAAGGACATATATAGGTTATGCAAATATATGACTCTCGATTGGTATAGGGTGATTAGGGTTTAGGGATGCTGAAAAATATTAGATTGCAAGTCTTTTAGTGACTTTTATTTTCTTAGGCTAGCCTGTTTAGATCCCCTGGTAAAATTTTTCGCCCTGTAACATCGAATGTTTGAATACATGCATGGAGTATTAAATATATGAAAAAAGAAAAATTAATTACACAGATTGCGTGTAAATTGCGAGATGAATCTTTTAAGCCTAATTGCTCCATGATCCGACAATGTGGTGCTACAGTAACATTTACTAATGATGGATTAATTAGGTTTAATAAATTCGTCTCACAGTTTAAGGGGGGATCTGTAATTTGTTTTGTTATTAGTCTACATTTAATACTTTAAATATATATCCGTATATTCGATGTGATATAGAGCTCCTCCTCGATGTAGTACTAGAATTGATGAACATGCATGTATGACAATGTGGTCAAATACGTGTTGGGAATCAGTGGACCAGAGGCCGGTAGGGCAACTCGTACGTACACGTCGACATGTGGAACGAGACGAAGAAGCAACTTTCCATGTCCATCGATCCATCCACACCCATGGCAAAGCAAAGCAAACCGGCAAGACAGCTTTAACTACCCGAACCTGATCGTATCAGCTTGCCAGGGAATCGTACTCCTGGCAATCGGGAATTTGTCTCTTGCCTGCGCCCTATGTCGTGCATGTGGCATGGCAGCAACCAGCTAGCCACCACAGCCCTCCTGGCGTATGGATGCTGGAAAGCCGAAAGACCAGTCTCCCTCCACTTTTTACTTTGTAATACTATGGCCGTGTTTAGGCCATAACCAATGCGGTGCTTCAGCTCGTGTCTTTAGCGATGGCCGTCCGCTTTTCCGTCGGTGTCATCTCCCTGCGAGAGAGCGCGTCCCTCAGCTGCTGGGAGACGCGTCCCTCGCTCGCTTTTGGCAGGGAACGCAGCCGAGGGGGCGCGTTGGCCGTGAGCGTGGCTTGTGGACACCATTCCCACCGAAAAATTCCCTGAACCACCCCTCTCACTCATCGCCCTCACAGCCGCTAGTGACGGGAGAGAGAGAGAGGCCAGCGGTGGTGGCGAGGGAGAGGGAGAGAGGTGAGAGTCAGCGGCGAGAGGGAGAGGGAGACGAGCGGCGGAGACGATGCCGGCGACGACCCGTAGACGATGCCGGTGGCGACGATGGATCCACGCGCGGCGACGGCGGATCCGCGCGCGGCGACGATGGATCCACGCTCCGCTCGCCGAGCCGCCGGCTCGCTGGGACGGAGTAGGAGGCGGCGCGCCGTCTGCTGCGTCCTCCTCGCTCCGCTCGCCGTCCGCCACCGCGCCCCACGCACCGCTCGCCACGGCCACCGCATCCTGTCGTGCGGAGGGAGAGAGAGGAGGGCGTCGGTGACGGGAGAAAGCGGCGGCGACAGCTGGGGAGGGAGAGGAGGGAGGCGGCGGCGGTTGCTGGGGAGGGCGAGGAGGGAGGCGCGGCGGCGGTAGAGAGGATGAGGGTTGGATCGGACGCGTGAGAGAGGGGAGCGACGAGAGGGAGGGAGGAGTTGCCGAGGGTAGATTAGGAAATTTAATGCGGTGACTCTTTGGTAGGGATACCCACAGATTCTGAGGAATTCATCTAGCTGTGGCCTCCATTGTGAGACGAGTGTCCATATGAATGTCTTCAGTTAGTGAGGACACTCTATGGGTGTCTTGCATTGTAGATGCCCTTAGATTCAAACATTTTTCCTTCAAACTTTCAACTTTTCCGTCAGATCATATGTTTGGACACATGCATGGAGCATTAAATATGGATAAGAAAACAACCAATTGCACAGTTTGCATGTAAATCGCGAGACGAATCTATTGATTTGACATGCACAGTTATGCCTAATTACGCCATGATTTGATAATATTGTGCTACACTAAAAATTTGCTAATGACAGATTTATTAGGTTTAATAGATTCGTCTCACAGTTTATAGGCGGAATCTGTAATTTGTTTTGTTATTAGTCTATGTTTAATACTTCGAATGTGTGTCCGTATACTTTAAAAATATTTTGGCACACGAACTAAACACAGCCACTCCTAGCTACAGTAGTTTGTACTATTATAGCCAGTGATTGCGCGGATATTTTTTGTCTTCTTCACCTCTCCGATTTGAAAGTGTCTCATCCTTTTACTTGAAATAGCAGGATCTTTTTTACTTTTAACAGAAGTGAGGGCAATTACGAAATATCATGATACTGCTATTTTTTAGGAAAGGCAAATTAAATTTTCCCAGTGAGCCTACCTCTCTAATCTCTATCATTTCCTTACTTCCTCCCATTCCATCCAACATTTTGTCCATCCATATCGTCTACTCCTTGCTCCATGCCTCCATCATCTCCCACATTTCTTTCCTGCACGAGCTAACCACTGATTTCTAGTCGTAGGTAGTATGCAATGCGGAAATGGATTTTAAACTCTCAAAATAATGTCTTTTCACCTCTTGAATGCCATCTAAATAATTAAATTTGATATAATAAATTAATATGTGATATGTTACTCCATAAACATACACATTCAAATACGACTTGTATAAGGTGTAAAAAAAAGACAATATCCACGTATAACAGTACAACTTCATTCATATACCATCAATGTTTCATTTCCATTTTCCGAAAGACATAACCCACTTTCCTAGTTGGCTCTAAGTATTGGTGGGAGAAGAGTGCTCCATTAATTCTCATACCTTTTTCAATCTACTCCCTCTGGCTACATAATTGATAATTATTGACGTTTCAAATAATTGTCAAACTTCACTTTATCATACATGTTAATATGTGCACATATAGTTAATTCTTTGATTGGTATAATAATGCAGTCAACACAATAGCCAATCTAGGAAAAAAGTGAAAAGGGGTCGACCCGTGACCCTCGCGTCGCCCACCCCAGGGCGGCTCGGGGGCGACGTGCACGGCGGCGACCAGCCCTCCCTCACCTCCTCCTCCGCGCCGCCGCCCGAGCGGCTGCCGGCAAAGCCGCGCGGCCGCAAGGACGGCAGCGGCGGGGCTCCTCGCACCTCGCGCTTGCGGAGGCCGGGCGAACCTCCGGAGGAGGCGGCGGCGGCAGCTTCCTCGTCCAGATCTGGCGGGGCGCCCGGAGGTGGCGGCTGGAGACGGGGGAGGTCGGCACCGGCGCTGGACGGCGCGGGGACCGGTGGCAGGCAGGGGCGGCATCGCGGTGGGAGGGCGACGGCAGCGGCGGCTCGCTCGCGCCGTGGGCACGACGTTGGCGTCGGCGTCCGTCCACGGCGGCGTGGTGGTCGTGCCGACGGCGGATGCTGCGGCGGCGTGGCAGCGTCGCGGTTTGGTGGGCAGGCGGCTCGCTCGCGGCGTCGGCGTTGGCGTCCGTCAGCGGTGGCACAGTGGTAATGGTGACGACGGGTGGCTACGGCGGCGCGGATCGCCGGCTTGCGCCGCCCTGGCTTGTGGCCACCGCCTGGCTGGTCGCCGGCTTGCGTCGCCCTGGCTGGATCTGGCCGTCCGTGGCCGGATCTGTCGCCTCCACGCCGGATAGCCAGGGCAGCCTATCGGCGGGGCGGCTGCGTGTGGCGGCGATGTGCGGATGTGGAGTTGGCGGCGTGGCAGCGATGTGCGCATGTGGAGTTGGCGGGACGACGGCTTGTGCTGACGTGAAGCAGGAATGGGGCTTGATGTCTGTGGTGGTGACTTCCTCGTTATCGTCCGAGTGTTTCTCCCTCTTTTCGGTTCCCCCCTTCTTTGGTCGGACCCTGTTCTGGTCGTGGGGAACGCTAGGGGGAGGGCGGAGGCTCCGGCTTGCTGTAGGAGTTTACGGCAGATTGATGCGTTTTGAGGGTGGGCAAGGGCCTGTCTTGCCGTTGGTTACGGTCAAGGTATGACTGCTTGTGGGACGTCATGGACTATTCTGTGGCCATTAATGTGGGGGTGCTTGTGTGGGTGATGTGAAGATACTGGCGAAAGCCTTGCTGTGCCTTGGGCCGGTTTGACGACGACGGGCGGGCGCCGTTTCCCTTCTTGGAGGCGTTGTCATGACGTTCTTTCATATCCCCCACAAAATCTGCAGGTGAAAACCTAATTCCGATTTTTGGACGAGCGGCGACAGCGTTACACGTCGTGTCCTCCTTGGGAGCGTCGCTTCGGAGAAGTACCAACGCATCCGACGTATGTCGATGGTCTTTTTCGGTTCAAAAGCTTTCATGCCTTGTGTTCGGCGAGGCCTTCGCCTTCTTGGGTCCGCTTCTTTCCTGTGGTGGGCGACACGCTCTTCGGTTGTTTCTGCTGATGAAGTCGAAGCTGCTCGCTGAAGGGGTGCGGCGACGCTTGGCAACGATGATATGTTGCAGTCTCTTCCAAGGAGTTCTGGTGCTGGCCGTATGAAGGAAGTTGCCCCTCGGGGGCTTGGCTGATGTCCATTGTTGGATGTTGGAGCTACTTTTCGCTTTGGCGACTTTCGTGGCTTCAGTGTCGCTGCGGTTGTGGAGTCGGCGCTGCTGGGTCGATTGGGCGGCTAGCTCGGCAACGATAACACCTCTTCTGCGATGTGGGAGCTGTTGTGTCGCTTTTGTGTTTAGTTTAGCGGTGACGTCTTGCGTTTGGGCTCCGCCGTCGTTGTTAGTTGTGTAGCGGTGGGTTTTAGCCGGTTTTTCTATAATTAACCGTGCAGTTGTATGATTTTCGGGTCCGGTTTTCCTTATAAACTGGGTCAATTCTTTTTTCTAAATATAACAGTGGAACAAAGTTCCATCTTAGGTTAAAAAAAAAGCCAATCTAGTATTAGTTTGCTCTAGGAACTCCCTCTCCTGTTCCCTCTATCCAAGCAAAGGAATTTTATCCACCCCTGATTTTCCATTCCCACAATCCCACTGTCCTGACGAGTGCTCGGGCACTTCACTGCACTCGCGCGACGTGCACCCATCCGAGCCGCACGTCACCTGAACAATCTATCTGATCCAAAGGTCAGAAACGTCCCTCTATCCTCTCCCCCCATCCCCACCCCACCCGCTTCACTCTCCCCATCGACCAAACCGCCACCGCCACCGCCACCATGCTCTCCTCCTCCTCCTCCGCCGCCGCCGCCGCCGTCGTGCTCACCACCACCAGCGGCCGCGCGCCCCTCCTCCACCTCCCCAGGACGCCACGCCCTACTACCGCCGCAAGGATCGCCGCCGCGCCCGACTCCTCCAGAGCCAGAGCCGGTGGCGCGCCTCTCCTCCTCGGCTCCGCCGTTCCCCGGCGGCGTGGCTGGGCGCTGGTATGCCGGGACTCCTCCCTCCCTGGCCCACCTGGAGTGGACCCCGTGGCGGAGGAGGAAGAGAACAGGAAGAAGACCGAGGCGGTGGCGGCCGCCGCGGCGGCCCGGATTGCCAGTAGCGGCGGCGGCGGCGGAGGAGGAGGAGGGAGTCTCAGCGACTGGACGACGTCGGTGCTTATCTTCGGAATCTGGGCGGGGCTCATGTACTACATCTTCCAACTCGCGCCCAACCAGACGCCGGTACGGACGAACACGTTGCTTGCCTTTTGTGCTTGCGTGAATCCGAATCGTTTCTTGGATAGCACTCAGTGAGATCCTACCGACATTGTTGCGAATGTTGGATAGCTTTACCATTATTATTATCTTACACATGACGCATACTGTGCTGTGTTCTTTCGATGTTCTCCCTACCTGCAAATTTCCCCAATGAATCATTGAATCCTCACCCCGCTTGGATGGGTTATATGATAATCTGCAAAGTTGACAGTGATTAATGCTGTGAGATTTCCTTGCATATGATATAGTTTCAAGTTTGTAGTTGATCTCAAATCGTACCATGGTGCCTAGTTAAAAAATAAATAGAAGTGAAGAGATGCCAGTATTATTAGGCGACTATTTAATCCTAGATGGAGCTGGAAAAGGTATCCATTGATTGTTAGTTATTTCCATATTAGTAAAATTTCTCTTGTATGCTGATAGTCATGTATTGTGTAACTTGTTAAATCAGAATTTTGTGGAAAATAGCCAATGATAAATGATTATTACTGTGTACAGCGTGTAAAGTGTTTTATGAAATTCCTCAATATATCAATCATTTCTCAAGAATTTGGTTTAGTCTTCTCTATTGCGTATTCAATGCACAAGTGACCAAGACCATGTAAAAGTGGAAATGGTGACTAACTGTTGCAGGTCATTTGGAGTGAAATTTGGACAAGTCTTGTTTTCTAGAATGCTAGTTCTTGTAATACTAATAAGTAGTATATTTGTTAAAATCTTAGTTGCTGCAATTATTGGCTCCCTAAAACTGTTGAACCTTCAGAAAGGGTCTCTAGTTGTTATATAGAACAAAATTACATGTTGAATACCTGAACCTTCATCATCATCGATCTCATTTTAAATCTAAAGCAACAAGTATATTGGCGTTGTTTTCTTCTTAATGCAAACCACTCATTCTCCACTCCATTCTGGTGCAGTACAGAGACACATACTTCTTGCAAAAGCTTTGTAACCTGAAAGGCGACGATGGCTTCCGAATGAATGATGTTCTTGTGCCTCTATGGTACATAATGGGCCTCTGGCCACTAGTGTACAGCATGCTGCTTCTTCCTACTGGCAGAAGGTAAATGAATCTGCATATTTCTACTCAAGGCAACCTCCTTTTATTGTCCACTGGAATTGCAGCCAAGAACCATAGAATGTTTCATATGTAATTTGAAAGTATATTTTTTCTATGCTTTAACTGATGTATCTAATTCAGTATTTTAAGATAATTTTTTGTTATATTTCTGAACCGATGCTACCATTGGATAAAAAGATAATATATTAATTCTGCTCATTATATTAACATAATTATTATCCAGTTAAACCTCTCTATATTTGAAGGCACCACTACCCTTTTTTACCTGGTGGACAACACATCACATTTCAATCACTACGTGAATCATATGCATTTCATTAAAGATGATTGTGATCAATACTTAGTCAAGCATTTGGCCCTTTTATTATGATTACGATGAATTTGCATAAATTTGGGAATATCAGTACCTGCTTTCCTGATCTACTAATGGTTTAAGCTTTTTGTGGTAACCACTTTCTTATGTTCTGCTTTTCTTACTTGACACATCTAAACAAGCACAAGAATCTATTTTTTAGTGACATCTTTAGTAAAACTTAATTTTCTTGAGATCACTCATGCTGAGAAACAATTGTATTGCAGTTCAAAAAGCAAGATTCCTGTCTGGCCATTCCTAATTCTTTCATGCATTGGGGGAGCATATGCCCTGATTCCCTACTTTGTTCTATGGAAGCCTCCTCCACCTCCGATTGATGAGGAAGAAATTGGACAATGGCCACTGAAGTTTCTTGAGTCAAAATTGACTGCAGGAGTACGTTGTAGTTTTACCATTGCTTAAATTCTCAAAAGCATAATTGTTTAAGTAGCTTGAGGCACAAATGATGTATCGTGATATTCTAGCTGGTCAACTTCTTAACTTCTGACAAAATTTCTTTCCAATCATGTTGCAGGTAACGTTTGCTGTGGGCCTTGGGCTGATTGTCTATGCAGCCAAAGCTGGTGGTGAAGATTGGCAGGAATTCATTCGATACTTTCGGGAAAGCAAGTTGGTAAGTACTCCGTGCTACACAATATGATTCAGCCCCAAGCTAGCGATGAACAAAGAAGCTCATCATGGCATATTTTGTAGTAACTTTTTGGCACACATGCAACCTTTTTGTAGTTACACAAGATATACTCCCTCTGTCCCAAGACATAAAGTATTTTGACCGGATGGGACACATCCTAGTACTATGAATCTGGACAAGTAGGATGCGTCTCATCCGGCCAAAGTACCTTATATTTTGGGATGGAGTATGTTATTTCAGTTTTATCAGTAACCATGCTAACTTTCTTGGAAATACAACCCCTCAAAGTTTTTGCAATTACATGACCCAGTACCAGAAGCCATTGCCTTGTGCCACCATCTAGTTTATACTAATTATATACCTTGAATTCATTGGAACCAATTTCAACACAAGAAATACTTATGTTATCCCAATTTAGGCTTAAAGCCTGTGAGGCAGGTACATTTAAGAAAAAAATATGAAGGCACTGGGTTTGAAGTAGAGAAAGCACGGATGAACTTAAGATAAAAAATGTTAAGCACATTTTGGTTTAGTCTGTTTTATATGATTCCAAGCTTTTAGGTGACTTATTCCATGGATCATCTTGTACTTTGTCTTGGTGTCAAACTAAGAAGGTTTTATCATCAAACTAATTTCCATTTGTTTCATCTCAAATATCAGATACATATCACCTGCCTTGATTTCTGTTTGCTCTCGGCCTTCTCACCATTTTGGGTCTACAACGACTTGACAGCAAGGCGATGGTACGGACACTTGCCCTGATACTCACTTTGTGTAGAGAACTGTCATGAATGACATCGTACCTTACCTAATACGAAAATACCAAACACATGCATTGGATGACCTGGGTGAATTATTATTTGGCTGACAGGAAAAATGGCTCTTGGCTTCTGCCCTTGGCACTTATCCCTTTTGTGGGACCTTCATTGTATCTTTTGCTGAGGCCATCACTCTCTTCTCTGCTAGCAGCAACAGGTCCATCAGATGATAAAACACAGTAATAACAATTATGAAGCTGAGTATTGATGAGGTTTTGGTTACGAGGAGATGACATGGTAGAAAGGTTAAGAACCACTTATGGAAATTGGATTGGACAGATTTAGATGCCAATCTGGAGCATTCCACAAAGTTGACTTGTTAGTAATGCATTTGAATGGCAAAAGTATGAATAATGTCCTTACTCAGCATGGTCAGCATCTGAATTCGTCAGAAAATTTTCAACTTGGAAGGCATTGGAGTAATCAGCAATGCTTAAATCCCTGGTGAACATTCTGCATTCTCCCCAGCGTACATATACAACTGGTAGGACCTTTTGCTACTGTTGTCCATGTATAGAAAATTTTGACCTTGTGACAGTGGTCCATATGTAAGAAGCCATGGTGCTAGTACATGATCATGAATGATAGGCTACAAATTTATTGTTACAGCCAAAGAATAACAGGATTCTTTTGGCACCAACTACACTTAGAATTACATTGCAACAGGTGTTTACTGCTCTATATCTTCAAAAGCAATGCGCCTATCAGCCTTGTAAGGATTGCACTGAACCACCTGCATTTTGTTACAGAACTCCTATCACTCTATTAGTGTTATCTTTCAGCCAAGTTGCAGAGTAGCAATACTTACATATGCAGAGTAACAATTTTATGATTTCCAGCACCTAATACAAACGCTTAGCTCCTATAATTAATATCATATGAATTCAAGGAAAATGAAATATACAAGTTAGTACATATATAATACATAAATGAAGAAAAAGGATAAACAAGTTTAGTGTTCATATGATCACACCACCCTCTGATATACATTTTCAATTCAACATGAGCTGCACAAGCCCTTCACTTCACCTATAGAAGCACTGATCAAAGCCTCCCCCAAATGTTTGGAGCTCAATTCTACCAGAGAACTCAAAACCTCAACCAACTTTTGACACACCTATCGACTGGTCTATTTGCACCATTAATCAATCAATCGCCGAACCTAACCAAATCATGGACGGATGGACGGATCAAGGGAACTGGAAGCCGCCGCCGCGCGCGCCGCCGTTGGAGTTGGCCTCCGGCGGGCTGATGGCGACCCAGAGCAGGGAGACGGTGATTGAGAGGAGGCCCGACCAGACGAAGACGATGGTGGGCGTCTTGCCGCGCCGCCCCATGAGGCCCTTGGCGAAGGGGTTGAGGTGGGCGAGCACCCAGAAGCTGAAGAAGCCGCCGCCGATGAACTTCCCCCACCGCGGGTTGTCGCTGTAGATGGTCCTCGCGAAGGCGAAGGCGATGGCGATGATGTTCACCATCCCGATGGTGATGGGCGGGATCAGCAGCGACGACCACTTGACGATGTAGAGGTCCGCGTAGATGTCCTCGTTGTCGTCCGCCGCCGCCTTCGCCGTCAGCGTGAAGGAGATCTCTATCCCGGCCATCACCTTCAGCAACCCCTGCACCACCGCGTACAGGTGCGCGCTCGTCCCTGCGAATCATCAATGATGACGTCATCAATGGCGGTGATCATCGTGTGAGGAAGGAAGAGAATGGAGGTGTATATGTGTGTGTTTTGTGCCTGAGATGAGCCAGAATTGCTCGTTGCGCCACCAATCCTCGAGCTCGATGCCGGACCACTTGACCTCGAGGATGCCGAGGGCGACGAGGGTGATGGTCATGGTGAGGAGGTAGCAAAGGAAGGCGATGTCGAGCTTCTGGACGATGAAGAAGCCGGAGAAGAGGGAGAGCGCCGGGATGAAGCAGTAGACGAGGAGGAAGATGGAGGTGAAGGGGTAGATGCCGACGTTGAGGTAGGAGATCCGCTGCAGCAGCATGAGCTTGCGCGACGCCAGGAACGCGTTGTTCCGGGAGAAGAAGATCTCGACGGAGCCCGTCGCCCACCGGAGCACCTGGTGGAGCCTGTCGGTGAGGTTGATCGGCGCCGTGCCCAGGAACGCGTCGCGCTTGGTGATGCAGTAGACGGAGCGCCACCCGCGGTTGTGCATCCGGTAGCCGGTCACCACGTCCTCGGTGACGGAGCCGTAGATCCACCCCACGCGGTCGCCCCACTCCGTCTTGTCCTCGTACCAGCACGAGATCACCGACACGGCCTCCGCCACCGTCGGCGGGTCCAGCGGCGGCCGCGGCACGGTGAGCGCGCCGGACGGCCTGCCGTGCAGCACCGCCGGGTGGTCGGCGAGGGGCCGCGCCTGGAACTCGGCGACGGGGATCGACGCCATGAACGGCGACGAGTTGCCGAACCGGCGCGGGACGAGGTGCGACGTGAGCTCGGCGTCGAAGTCCTCCGCCTTGAGCGTCTGGGTGTCCGACTCCGGGTCCTTGAACGTGGTCACCTTCTTCTTGGTGAAGAGCCACCCCGTGTACTCGGCGGTGCGCGGCGGGTCGAAGCCGTAGACGGCGAAGCGGCGGAACATGCAGCCCGTGCCGACGTACATGGGGCCCTGGAGGCCGTCGAGCGCGCGCATGTTGCCATCGAAGAAGACGGTGTTGTTGTTGGCGTAGCGGTCGGAGGGGTCGATCCCCTCGAAGCGCTGCGGGAACTGGATGTAGGCGATGCGCTCGCCGCCGCGGTCCATGAAGAAGCACATGGCCTCGCGCACCGCCTGCGCGTTGTTGATGTAGTGGTCGCAGTCGAAGTTGAGCATGAAGGGGCCGTTCGACATGACGGCGGAGCATCGGACGAGCGCGTTCATGGCGCCGGCCTTCTTGTTGTGGTCGTAGCCCGGGCGCTTCTCCCGCGACATGTAGACGAGCATCGGGAGGCGGATGTCGACGTCGCTGAAGTCGATCATCTGGTCGTCGTCGTGCATCCCGTAGAGCGGGTCGGGCGACGGCGGCTTGAGCATCACCTGGAGGATCCCGGCGTGGTTGCCCTTGGCGTGGTCGGGCGCCGACGCCGCCCATGTCCCCGGCCAGTGCGAGCCGTCCGCCATCCACGTCGCCTTCTTCACCTTGGGCTGCTCCGACGGGTCGGCACCCGTCTCGCGGAGGTGCTTGAGCATCTTCATGTCCTCGCGCGCGTTGAACGCGTCGGAGCGCCGCCGGATGGAGTCCGGGAGGCCATTGATGCGCACCTTGAACTCGTCGAACTCGCGCTTCACCCTGCGCCGGTCCTTGACGAAGTCGTTGCGCCGCTTGCCCTTCGTCGGGTCGCCCTTGACGCTGAAGTAGCTGTCCGGGTTGCGGGGCTCGATGTCGTGCTTCTTGCAGAAGGGCACCCACACGTTGGCGAAGCTCGCCGCCTCCGCCATGGCCTCAAAGGTGAGCAGCGCGCCGCCGTCGTCGGACACGTAGCAGGCGAGCTTCTCGACGGGGTAGTCCACGGCGAGGATGGAGAGGATGGTGGTCGCCGTGGTGAGCACCGGCTCCTTCTCCGGGTCGGCGGTGGAGACGAACACGTCGAGGCCCGGGAGGTCGGAGCGGCCGTGCGGGTTGGACGGCGACGGCGTCTCGAACTTCTCCTTGAGCACGGCTAGGTCGGTGCTCCGGTTGACCGGGTTCACCTTGGGGAGCATGTCGAGCAGCCATGAGAAGGCGAACCAGAGCTCGCAGACGATGGACATCCCCCACAGCCAGAGCGCCTCCATGTTTGGGTTGCGGATGCGCCACGTGAGGTAGAAGAGGAGCACGAACATCCGGATCACGATGAAGATCCGGTACGGGCTGATCACCGACGTCGGCATCGGGATCTTGCGCGTCAGCGGCTTGAACGGCTTCTGCTCGGGGAGCGGCCCGCCGCCGCCGCCGCCGCCGCCGTCGCCGCCAAGCTTGTCGACGTCGTCGTCCAGGTCGTCGTCGTACATGCCGCCCTTGGGCCAGAACGCGTTGCCGTAGCCGTAGGTGCCGGAGCTCTCGAAGAGCCACCGGTTGTGGTCGAACTCGCCGTTCTGGTTGCGCGCCAGCAGCGACTTGTTGCCGCCGCCGCCGGGGCCCGGCAGGTGGAGCTTGCCGTCGTGCGGGTCATCGTCGGCGTACTCGCCGATCTTGTAGTGCTCCTTGCATCCGGGGCAGATGCAGCCGTCCTTCTGGGCGTCGAGGTAGCAGTCGCGGCAGATCTTGAAGTGGCACTCGCAGGGGTCGACGTCCTCGCCGCGCTCGTTGCGCATGGCGCTGCCGTCGCAGGCGGGCATGGCGCAGCGCGACCCCTTGGCGCCGGCCATCTGCGGGTGGGAGACCGACGACTCGATGACCTTGTCCATGAGGTGGGCGCGGGTGGCGCTGTTGAAGCCGCCGGTGAAGAGGGAGTTGGACACGTACTGCTCCTCGGCCTTCATCGCCACCGACGCCGGCTCCGCGCCGTTCAGCATCGGCTGGTTGTCGGGCGTCGGCGGGATCTGCACCGTGTAGTTGGTGTAGTCCGCCGCCAGCTCGCCCTCCATGTCGATGTCCTCCCGCGACAGGCTCACGTACCGCCCGCTCGACGTCCGCCGCGCGAACTTCACCGCCTGCCCCGCCGGCCCGCGCGGCCCGCCCGCCGACGGCCCGGCGCCGCCGCCGACACCGCCGGCGTTCCGGATCGCCTTCTTCCCCGGCCCCGTCGACATCGCTCTTGAAATTTCCTCCTCCTCCTCCTCCTATAGCTTAATTAGCGTCTGCTTCTTGCAGAGCGGTGGTCGTCTCGTCCATGGCGACGGCGTGCAAAACCAGGTGTGGAGGAGAGAAGGGGAGGGATATGAGGGGATCTCTCGTGCTCGTGCATGGGGGAGGAGAGGAGGGCCTATATTAAGGCGAAGCGAATTTAGGAGGAAAAGGAGAGGAGGGAGCTCCCGGGTTTAGTGGGGAGCTTGTGGTGATTGGTGAAGAAGATGGTTTGTTTGTCTCTGTGTTGGGGGAAAACCCAAATAAGCACGGAGGAAAATGCAGATGCACTCATGCACATGTACAGCAGGGGAATCTGCATTTTGGGTATATCATAAACCATAGATATAGAATTCCTAATGCAGTAAATATGTGCAATTTTCAAATTGTAGTAGTGTCAAATTTAACGCGTGTAATTGCAGAGTTATTTGAAATATAATTTTTTATCTAGTACTCTCTCCGTCCTATAATATAAGGGATTTTTGAGTTTTTGGTTGAACTGTTTGACCACTCGTCTTATTCAAAAATTTGTACAAATATAAAAAACGAAAAGTTGCGCTTAAAGTACTTTAGATAATAAAGTAAGTCAAAAATAAATAAATAATAATTCCAAAAATTTTTTAATAAGACGAGTGGTCAAACAGTTCACACAAAAACTCAAAATCCCTTATATTATGGGACGGAGAGAGTATACAACTATGGGAAACTCTATTCATCCATTCATCCTTTAAGGGATGTCCTCTTATTTTTGCATGCACTTAAAAAGTCATAAAAAATTGAAAAAAAAGTAGTAAGAAAGATTAATATGTGGTGTCATTCCATAAATATGCATGTTCAAAATCAACTTATAAAGTAGAAACAAAAATAACAAATTGATTTATGAATAGGACTTTGTTATTTTTTTTAATTGTATAAATAAAATTTTAATTTGCGTGTTTGTAAAAAGATAATCATATATCGTTCTATCTTGACAATTTCCTTCAATTTTTTATGATATTTTTAAACGCCTTACACAAAACGAGAGGATGTCGCCTTGAGGGACAAAAATCCACTTCCATATAACTATGTCCATATTTCTCAACATGTAACCATGCTTCCTATATAAATTTTTACTCCAGATATCAATACGCAATGTTATAATTTGATTCCATCCTGATGGGCGACATTCATACTTAGTTCTCTTTTTTTTTCTGAGTTCTGACTGGCATGATAATTTCTATGCTTTGAGAGCAAATATGATTCTATTAACCTTCTCTTTTATTTTGTAATGAGCAATCGATGCTGATTTAAAAACATTGGGTTGCCTTTGCATGTTTTTTCCCTTCTCAACTAAAGATTCTTTTTAACAATGCTCCAAGTTCATTTAGTCTATCCATTTCACAATGATCCAATGGTGGTAAGTACTGGTCCTATAGGAGGAAAGGATGGTTTTTAAAACTTGCTATTTGTAAGCATGGTTGCCTACTTAGTGAAAGTTGAAAACTACAAACTATAAACCAATTTGTATGTCCTTTATAATTTTAGTATAATTAATTCGTTGATATGGATGACTTTTTATTTTTCTACTTCATATTTTCAAATTTCAGCACTGAAACCTGCGTTGTTTATTTGTTTCAAGTATGTCCTTTTCTATAATTTTCAGTTTTACATTTCTTACTGATCCATTTTAATTGCTATAGCATTTCAAATTTGGTAAATATATCTTTAATGCTTCAATACACCACTAATTATTTACAATCATAATTAAGTGAACAAATGATTTTCTTTCTTTACTCTCATTTATTAATAATTGAAATAAAAAGATATATTTGGCATTTAAGTGAATTCGCGGGTCGACCACTTGCACCCTTACAATTCTACGGCATCCAACAATTGTGGCAAAATGGGGGGCATTCAAGAGTTGACAGCGTGGGAGCTGCTGCTGGAGCTCGGGCTAGAGAGAGGGCTGCCACTGGATCCAGCGAACAGCAAGTCGGTGTAGAGTAGAAGGATGGTGCTGGAGAGGATGAAGAGGACACCCTCAACGCACCGGCGACCCCTCCGGTTTCTTGACCACCGCCATCGCCACCTCCATTCCCACAATTCACTGGTTTGCGTCGTTGTCGGGGAGCTGGCAGCCCACTGCGTTGGTCTACCCCGCACCACCCAGATCGAGGCCGTCGGCACCTGCACTACTTCAGTTGCCGCTGCTATGCTATTTCTGCCTGCTCCTTGCTCAGAGCATGCCCGCCGCCGGTCCACTCTACCTGCATGTTGCGTTGCTCCCTGCTCGCAGCACGCCTGTGCTGCCCCGCCCACCGCCACTGCCGACAGAGGGAGAGATAGGGATAAGGAAGAAAATGATGTTTCACTTACATGTAGACCCCACTCCCACATGATTTTTTTATTTTTTATTTTTGCTTCTGTTGACGTGCCAGCCAAAACTACCTTCAATACTGTTTTGGGACTACATTTGCATCGGTTTGGGAAGATGAGGGATGCGTTGTACCCAGTTTTGTGGTTGAGAGTCCTGATTCAAACTCAATGTCAAGATGAAGAACATAAAATGGACTTAATTATTCCGGTGGATCAGATCTGCTCCCAGCCTCCCAGACCCTTTTTGTTCTGTGGGCTAACATTTGGCCCATATGCCATAGAAAAAAAAATCAAACCACAGAGTAACAGATCCCACAGCCCATATAAAAAAAATCAAATCCAAAAAGGCCATAGCTGAAATGCAATAGATCCAAAAAGGAAAAACTTAGCCGAGAGATCAAGCCACTGAGTAAAAAGGAGAAAAAAAAGAAGCTTCTTACCAGCCAAGAAAGGAAAAGATAAAAATGAGATAGACGAGATCGGGATTCGGGAGTAGATAAGGAGCTCCTTCCTCGCAGGAGGAAAAAGAAGGGGGATGCAAGAAAACTTGGAGATCCAGGAGAAGGAAGTGTATGAACTAAAGATTTGTACTGAAAGGTATGAAAATGCTTACCTCTCCCAATTATGGAAAGATTTGAGTCCAAAAAATTTATCATCACTTGGTGCTTAGTTCTCCAGATCTGTGATTACACAAAAAGTGTTATCTTTCCTTTCTGATACCAAACTGAACCAGCATTGGGTTGTACCTGCTTGTTAGAAAATTCAAGCTAATTTGTAATGTTGATGCAAAGTAGTGGGGCATGGGGTTCTGCAGTTAAACTGTATTTCTTTGTGGTGCTTCAGTTTGTCTTGTTGCATGAACTTTGTTTGAGAAAAAACTACAAGGTTTAGAAAACTGAATGTTCAGAAAACTGGTCAGTAGGTTCAGAATTAGTTATGGAAACTGTTAAATAAGTTGAAAACTAGATCAACCCACAAGATGCAAATATGTTGAGATGCATCATGCATGCATGATCAGATACAAGAGAGCACACCTTGTCAAATGTGTGGCCAATGAGAAATTACTACTCTAAGTACCTACTAGTTGTTATGTTTCAAACTAATAGCTGATAGCTGTGATGAATCTACTTAATATTGGTACCTAATCTTCTACTGCAAAAGCTCATAGAAATCATGCTCGATATATTTTCCTGGAGTTCTATAGTGAACTACATGCTTAACAAAACAAACTTGTGTCAGGCCTTCATCTGTTGCTAACAAAAACATAACAGCTACAGAACTGATGACACTATTTCTGATAAAACTGATAGAACTATTTCTCATAAAACTAATAGAACTACTTCCATGAAATGTCCAGAGGTAGCTCAACCAAGCCTTAAATTAACAAAACTAAGTCATGTTTAGAAGCTAACGAAATTGACTATTTGCTAACAAAATTTGGTAATACTAATCAAATGTGATATCACTTACTCAACTTCGCCTTCTACATGCAGTGATGTTGATTTCTTTTTAATCCGTTGCAATGCAAGGGTATTTGGATTAGTGTCTTGTGAAGAAACAAAACTCAGTAAATGATTTAATTTAATATCCATTTGGCCTCCTCTAGTCATAGCTTGGTGTTGATATTACTACTTTGATAGTTTTGTTGATTCTGAACTGCTATAAGGTTCACAACTAGTTTGAGAAAACTGGATGTTCAGATATTTTATTGGAGGTCAAACCATACAAAGCTATGAATGGATATTAGATACAAAAATATAGTATGTTGTGCTGAATCAAATTTTCAGGAGAGGCGCAGGTGTATGAGGCAGGCAAAAGGAAAGCTTGCATTTGCTTGGTATGAAGCATTTAATCTTGCCCCTGCATCTTGACTAGAGTAAAGTAATTTGAATTGGCACACAAACATCTTGACCTCTGAATCTGATATTTGTACCTATGCTATTTGAGCATTTAACAAAACTATGTACACAAATCAACGGATCTATGAAATTGTTATCATGTTGTAGGACCTATATCTGAATGCATACAACCAACCACGCATGGGTGTGAGAAAGTTGGTAAGGAGATGTTGGATCAGGTTTGGTTGGAAGTGGGTCGCAACAAAAACGGAGACTAACCTGACAAAGCGCTGTGGGCCTGATAACGTAGCACGAATCTTGACGTCCATCCAAATGATAGGAATTTGAGTGCGATTTAAACATGAAACACACTGGTGTTGTATAGCAAATATAAACTCTTTTAGCCCTATATCCAACATATAGGGAACTGGAGTAATTTTTTTCCTACCACAAAAGCTATCATGCCGCATTTGTGTAACCAAAGTTCGGTAAAGTGTTAGAGAAATATTAAACAGGTTCCATACCGCACTAACACTGACACCTAGGTTTTGAGTAGATGATTTAGCACATATTTGGATGGCAAAATTGGTTTTAGAGCAAAGAAGTGTTTGTGATGTTGCTTTTCCAGATCGGCCCAGCTTCTCACAGAATTTGATGGTAATGATGAAAACCATGTAAAAGCTGATCCAGTCAAAGATAATGGGAAAAATCTAACTTTCAAAGCCTCTTCAGCTGATGCTTCCCCACATTGCGCTAAGAATTGACTGATATGTCCCATCGTAGATATATCATATTGCCCTGTAAACTTCGAGAAATCTGGAACTTTGTATCGACATGGTAATGGAACCATATCAAACTACTCAGGATATGGCAGCCGATACACAAAAGTTTGTTCATTGGATTTGATTCCAAACAGCTCACTTATTATCTTTGCAATTCTATCGGCCAAATCATTGTTATATTGATATTCTTCAGCATGCCCATATTGATGAAATTCCTCTGGCCATGTTAACAAGAGAATTTTGCATCAGATTCGAAGATGAAGGAAGAAGATCGAAACAAATTTGGTGTTGAATCGAGTTGGATTTGGAGTCAGACTGCGTATCGGCTGAAAATAAGATATGAGCTGATCAAGGTTGATGTGACATCCCGGCCTAGGGCTTAATAGGATTAATAGAATACTCATATCAACAAGTTGCAACTTCTTTTCCGGACAATAGGATTAATGGATTGTCGTCCCCTTTTTTTTACAATGATCCGGGGTTTATATTTATACCCTGAGTACAAACTTAGTCCATTATGGACATGACTTAAACTTTCCTAAAGATAAAATACAAACAAGCCCACATGGCGGACTCTTGCCATATCTCTAACTCAAACTGACATAAATATCCTAACTAATAGATACAATTACCTTAAACGGGCTCAATCTCTAATTGGCAATGATGGTTATCTCGAACTAGACCCAAACCGAGCCCAAGTCATATCGTATCGTATCGGCCACTTGCCATATTGGCTAAGTCAAATTCCATTCCAGCCGATACGATACCCAGCCGATGCGCAGTCCGACTCTAAATCCAACTCGATCTTGTACCAAGTCCGTTTTGATCTTATTTCTTCTTCTCCGAGTCTGATGAGGACATCAACACCATCGATACATCCACGTCTCCACAAGTTCAACTTCAAGGTCCTATTACCCACGCTCGTGCACGTCAACTCAATTATTAGGTGAGTTCATTCTTAAATTTATGTTCATCTTATTTATACCCCGGAGACCCGTGTACTCTTGTTTTACTCAGGAGTAATGGAGAGGATCCAAAGGGGAGAGGATTCATACGGGCTGGATTCGGACTGCAGGACAGCACCAACTTCTGACGACCTCCACGGCTTCATACGAACTCCGATTTGGGTATGTAAATACTTCATGAAAAGCTTATCAAGTCTACTTTCAAATAAATCTAGCCTCACATCTGTATCTATTCTGGAGAGGCCACAATCGTCGTTTTACTACAGAGACCTTTTTCTGTCCATGGTGTTGTGTCACCTTATTTGGGCCCAATGTGCCATGTATCCAATTGAGTCCGTTTGGGACGCGTCTAGGGTTAGAGGATGACCTGAACTCGTCCTCCCACCTATATATCTTCCTTAGCCACCATAGAACAATTTGGGTTTTGTTCAGATCTAGTTTAGTTTCATTACTTGCCGAGTAATTCCGTGATCGATTAGATCGCCATTCTGCTTGTTATGGAACCCCACCTATGATACTTTTGGTTGATTCAATCCTACATCTTTATTTGCAAATTGAGTTACTTGTTCATCTTGTTCTTGCTAGTTCTCGATTGCTTGTAGGAACAAATACCCTCGTGGTTGGGCTGACCGTGCATCCGTCAAGATTCACGATCGCCTCTAGAGTCATGCAACGATTGCTAACGCGCAACATCCCTGGATAGTTGTAGTCGGATCGCCAACGTCGCTCCATCAATCGACTTATCCTCTCATCGAAAGATCGGGACACCCTCATGCACATAAGGTGGTATCATAGCTTTTAGGTCGCTTGGTGAGAGATTTATTGTTTCACAATTTTTTTCCTACAGTCCAGAAAAGCCAAAAAAATAAAATAAAAAAAGTCGCATATCTCTCCTCAGCACTAGAGACAGAAAGCAAAAAAAAAAAAGCAAGAAGATCCGACTTGTGTGAGCACCTCTCGCCATTCCCTGTTGTCACCACCTTCCTATCATCGCTCCTGTTTGGGTTTGTATATTATGGCGTTCTTTGTGGTTAGGCTCGTGTCTCTACTTCGGCTAGCCTAGGACCAGCACTGTACCAACCTTGAATGATTATTCAACTTGCTTTTGTCTAATGCGGTTTCTAGTTTTTCTTTGTCTCATACACAGCCTACCCATAGCTCCACCGGTTCGACTAACACTTGACAGGGATTAAGCGACCAAGGCATCAATACACCTTTCTCCAGAGGTTCGTCCAGTCCGACGGTTGCCGGCACCTCCTATTTAGTGCGGTGAGAATCGGGAGCTTGTTGAACATGTTGAGAGTGAGTGACTTGATACAACCACGTCCAAGTAGTTTTGTACATTTTATTTTTTTTCCTTTTGTCATATAGTATTTGTTTTATCTGTTTCTTTTATCTAACCATGTCAGGTGAAGATTCCCACTCACCCCAAACAAGAGGGGTCTGATGCAAAATTATATTGTTACAGTGGGCCTTGGGCCCCTAGCTACGCCACCCTAGGGTTATCCTTTTATTTTTAAGGACATTCTGAGTATGCTATCTATTATATTATTAAAACAGCCTTGAAAGGGGACACCACATTCGCTGTGGAGGCTAGAAATTCCCACATTAATCGGAGAAAAAAAAGAAATATATAAACCGTTAGATCGTAGTGGGTCCAAATTATAACGATGTAGATTGATCAATGAATATATATTATATATATATATACTATTATCTTTCTATAAACGGACAAAGAGTTAGAAAGAATCGGATTTAGTTTCTAGCCACTACTAAAACAATCCGAAGCAGAGTTGGATTGCATATATATGTTTGCAGGCAGATCAATAATGCTCCCATACGTTACTGTCCACATAAGCCTGTATTCTCATGCATGCACACAAAAAACCAGCAAGCCTATAAACAAATCAACTCACGATTAAAATCACATGTCGGATAAGTTTAATTTGTTAATAATCATAACCTTAAATTAATGTGCAAACATACATGTATTTTTCAATGGCACATATGTACTGTATGTATCTTTTAAAGTACATTTCGGATGTACTACCAAGTAGGCAAGATTAATTAGTTTGGTTAATAATTAATCTGATTAAAGGTTACTCAATAATTAAAAAAATAGTTTGAGCAATTGATGGGCTTAATTGAGTATAATAATTATTATAAATTTGAAAAAATAGATTAATTTTTTTAAAACTTTTGCACAAAATAAATAATTTAGCAGTTCAGGAAGTATGCTAATGAAAACACAGCCTTATAGTTGGACTGTGAATATGTGTTACAGTCTGGCTTAACATATGATGTGCATGTTGTTCTGTCTTGGTAAGCATCGGCTAAGAGGTGGCCCAGCCACGGGCAAGAGGAGTAGCTGGCGGGACTTTTATAAAAACTATAAAAACAATTAGATTTTTTCAAGTTCAAATATCAACTGGCAATAGTAGTTGCGACAGGGCAGCAGCGAAAGCAAGCAAGTAAAACTAGTATACTTTTCTTAAAGCAAGTGAAAGGATAGCACAAAGGTCATGAAAACTAAGAGAACTAGGTGATATCCCGCAGCGCGGGATACATGGATGAGTATATGTTAAATATTGTCGAAATGATAAAAGTTGAAATGTTGAGAAAATAATATGAAGAAGATGATTTGACACATACTTGTTGATCTCTATAATATAATATTATAGATGATGTGTTAGGCTTGCATGGAATTTAAAATAGGATAAAATAGTAATTGTTAGTGAATGAATATGTAGCGTGCTTGCATGGGATTTTATATGGGCTAGAATAGTAATATGCTTGCATATTGAGCTATAGCTTCTAATAATTGTTAGTGAGTACCAACTATATAGAAAGTATAGATAAATGCTAGGAAGCAGTGTCTGATCAGAGGCATGTGGGTAAGATGGAGGGCGACAGAAGGTGGAGAGGAGGGGCGACAACAACAGGTGAGAAGCAGACGGGAGGTGGACAAGGATAGCAAATGAGACGATCATGAGAGGAGGGGCGACAACAACAGGTGAGAAGCAGAGGGGAGGTGGACAAAGATAGCAAATGGGACGATCATGAAGTACAGTGTTACCATTCCTCCAAAAAAGAGACCCAAACAAAGAGATTTATAGTATTTGCCATTAGGGGCTTCCAAATACGTGTGGCCCTAAAATAAAATCTAGCCGCATATATTGTGTGGGCTATCCTGCTAGAAATTCACACACTAATCAGAGGAAAAAAATTAGAGTTCTAGTAGGATACAAATTTAGGAACAGCTAAAATTTAGAATAAAAATATGAAATATTGAAAATAGTCCATTTAGAATAAAAACACGAGATTAATTAAAATTAAAAATAAAAATAAAAGAAATCCAAAATTAGAAAAGAAAAAGTTATGTACTTTAGAAATAACGAATAAAAATACAGAATATTAAAAAAGAGACCATCTACAACACACAAGGCAATTAATTAAAATTAAAATAAAAACAAAATAAATTCTATTATATTATTAAGAGTGTAAGTCGACGACGGGCAGAAAACAAGTAGAGCAATGACAACTAGCAAGACTTCAAAAAATATAAAAAGAAAAATTGAACAACGGTCATGTTCGATTTTACAATACCAATATTAGATAATAAAGAGGAGGGGCAAAAAGCTAGCCATAAAAAAGTAGAGTGAAGGCGGTCTAAAAACTAAGTACCCCAATAACTATTATGTTTGATTTTGAATATCCTAATAACAATAAAAAGAAGGAGCAGCGGCGGTAAGCTATAAAGGAGTAGAGTGGTGACGGTTGATAGGTTTTACAAATTAAAGAAAACAACGATAATCAGGTTTAATGTTTAAAATCTCAATAAGAATAAAGAGGAACCTGGTGAGGCAATGTTTGACGAAACTTCTAAAGACTATAAAAAGGAACTTGGTGAGACAATAAACTCTAAAAACTATAAGTAAAATTTGATTTTTTAAAATCCTAAGATAACGAGATAACTATTAAATAACTATTAAAAATAATTTGTAAAACAATTTAGATATGATGTATCTAAATAACTATTAAAAATAATTGGTGCTAGCGCGCAGTTGCGCGGATCACTCTGCTAGTTTATTTGATAATGATTTTTTTGCCGGATAAATGGGTACCCCGGTACCCATTTCATTAACAAATACACAAGACTTAGGTATATCTTATCTATAACAATAATTTTTTAATAAATCATTTTAATCTATTAGGATATATGGGAAACGACGAGAACCAGGAAAGCATGATACGGTTCTCGCTTACCTCCACTATACCAAAATGCGACATTTTAGATCAAGTAAAAAACGTAGCGGACTGCTGTCTTCTTTTCCGTTTTACTCGCTACGATTATAGTAAACCCCCAGCCCCGTCGTTTTCTGCTTTGAGAATTCTCGTGTTTCCCTTCCTACCTGGGCCCAACTTTGAGAGGAGCAATTTTATACAGGAGTAGAAATTTCACATCTGGATTGAGCACTTGCAAGTTGGCACGTGGCGTCCATGCGGCCGCTCAGATCGCCGGAAACCAGACGGAGGTGTTCACTGGGGTCCACGGAATCTAATGTTCCAGTGAACTTCACTCAAACCATCGGCTGCGCCTGTAGCAAGCTGCACGATCTGCTGACTAAGTTCATGAAAATGTGTGCCATCAGTTTGTTGAGTAAATTATTGATCATCGAAAATATCAATCGAAGAGAACCATTTTGTTTTGCTGAAGCACATTCCCGTAAAAAAAACGCTACGGCCCGTTTGGTTGGAAGGAGTTTTTAAAAAGGATTGAGAGTTTAGAGGGATGAGGCTATTAAGTGTTTTGTTTGGTTGGGAGACATAGAAATTTTGGTGGAATGGAGAATTGAGAAAGAAACTCCCTCCTATTCAATACCTGGGTAGAGGCAAGTAATTGGGAGGGAATTCCTCCTTTACTTTGTATAAGCAAATCTTAACCATCCATTTATATTAATGAACTAATCTCCAACTAAACTCCCTATCAATTGACATTGGGATTAAAAATCAAATTCACATCTTAATCTCATCATCAATTCTCTCGTGAAAGCTCAAGTTACCAAACAAGTCGTAGGGATGAACTATGGGACTGACGGAGTAAAGTTCAGCCGTGGTGAATTAGAAGAAAAAGATAAAGAGAAAATTCATTATATATCGTTGAGTTTGTTACAGGTTTAAAATGTACCATTCGTATTGTCACATTCTACAATATGTCATCGACTTTTGCTTAATTTTACGATGTACCATCATCATCCGGTTAACCTCCGCTAGGACTATACATTTTTATCCAAATGACCAAAATACCCTTGGAACGAAAACTTCCAAAATTTGAATAAAAATTTTAAAATATCATATTATAAACTTAAGATTTTAAACATCCAAATTTTGAAAAAAAACTTGATTTATCATTAAATGTTCTTTGATCATAACTTAATTTTTTTATAATTACATAAAAGATTTTGAATAAGACAAATGGTCGCATGTTTATCAAAAAGTAAACGGCGTCATATATTAAAAAATGAAGGTAGTAACAAATTAAAAAGCGGATTGCTAGTTTTTAGGTTCCACCTTCAACTAAAATTTCTGGCTTTGCTTAGTTAGTTTATAGGAAAGAGGGATTGGAGGGAATTAAGAATGATTAATTCCACATCACAATATGAAATTATTCCCTTCAAATCCTCCTTAATCGCCTTATGCATCTAACAAGGCCTCAGGGACAGACATGGGAGGGAAGAGAGGGGCTTACTACTGATGGTAACAATGGCCGTCTTCTCTAGCAACAATGAGCTCATTCTTTTCTCCGGCGACAGTGACACCGCAACTTCGGTGGAGAAGAAACATATTAGAATTTGAGATTGGATCAGTGTGAAAGGGGCAGTTGAAAGAGGGAAGAGCGGAGTTTTATAGGGCTTGGAGAGATGGCTTTGAGCGATGGCGGGGACGTCGTTGAAGCCGCAGGGCTGGAGGCCACAAGCGGGTAGGGTTGACGATGGGGACGACACCAACGGTAGTTAAGAGGTGAAGGCGGCGGATGCGGATCCTGCGGCAGCTCACCGCCAGAGACGTGTAAGGACCTATGGGGCGGAGGCTTCACATTGGCAAACTTGATAAAGAGGGATGGAAAAGGGAAGGGCAGGTAAGGAGGTTGGTTCAACGGGCCTTACCGATCTTGTTCACATATTTAGGTTAGCCAGCAATGGTGCTAGCGAGCTATGCTAAACCCTCATGTACACACTTGCGTGGGGAGGGGAAAAGAAAAGGGAAAGGATAATGTTTGTTGTTTATGTACAAATATATTATTTAATCTGGGTAGTAAAAAAATAATTGAATTTTTTTTAAGTTCACTCCATAATAGAGAACCCCAACACACAAATAAACTGAGCCTTCAATATCAGAGCCTGAAAATGACTCCTAGAGATAATTATAATAAACATAAGAAGAAGACAGACACAGAAAGTTATCCGAAGGTAATACCACCCACTTCCCGGTGGGCCCCGCCGAGAGTCACTCGCCCACCAACTCTCCACTCCACCACCATGACCCCACCC